GAGCCACCGTTGCCTGGTGGTTTGTGATTCTAAAGGACCCGATCTCTTTCAGAGTATCTGATGCCGGTGGGAAAATAAGATAAACACAGGCGAAGACCATGAGCAAAAACAAAAGCACTTTAGCTGGGTGCTGGTGGCTCCCGCCTGCCATCCCAGCTACTCAGGAGGCTGAGATCGGAGGATCACAGTTCAAAGCCAGCCTGGGCAGGAAAGTCCGTGAGACTCTGATCTCCAGTGAACCACTCAGAAAACCAGAAGTGGCGCTGTGGCTCAAGTGGTAGAGCACCAGCCTTGAGCAGAAGATCCGCCCAGGCCCTGAGTTCAAGTCCCACGACCCACAACAACAAACAAAAATCTAAATGAAATAAATCTCGGAGGCCAGAAAAGACGAACTTAAAGATAAAAATCCATCCTCCATTCCAGCACCCTGGACATTAGTGTCTGAGAGATGGCTGTTAGCTGTATAACCAGCTACCTCTCTCTCTCTCTCTCCCTCTCTCTCTCTGCACTATTCATTCATCTTGCATATAACACATCAGGCACATATCTATATCACTGAGCAACGATCCATCATCCCCCCCACCTGCCGGCTGCCACTGGGACATACAATATTTATCACAGGTTAGGGGAGAGAAGGAAAGCAAAGCTGAGAAACCCACGCCCCCCCCCCAGTTGAAGCTTGGGTACCTGGGCCTGGGTTTGCTCCATCTGTAGGTCAGCCAGGGCTGATCCAGAGAACGGGCCGCGGCACCCAGCCCCCCCACGCCCTGGCTGGCTTCCCCGTGACTTTGCAAACCATCTGACACCCCAGTCCCGCCGGGCCAGCGCCCCCCCCCTTCACGCCGCTCCCTACCTCCCAAATCAAATATTTATCAGCTCCGAAGCTCTTCGTCTGCTTTGCGCGTCTGTTCCTGGCCGTCTGATGTTTCTTGCAGCTCAAACCAAAGTCTGGCCACCAGCCCGGGGCTGAAAACAGGAAATCAGCCACGAGGAGGAGAGACAGAGAGAGGGGGAGAGCTTTATTTCATTTTTATTTCAGAGGAACAAAGTGGCAGCAAAACTTCACCATTCCACTCCAACCTCCCTCCTTTTGTTTGTTTTTGTGGGGGGATGGGACTTGAACTCAGGGCCTGGGCGCTGTCCCTGAGCTCTTTCACTCAAGGCTGGTGCTCTACCACGTGAGCCATAGCATCACCTCTGCTTTTCTGGTGGTTCCTGGGAGATCAGCGTCTCACGGCCTTTCCTGCCCAGGGCTGGCCTTCAATGGTGATCCTCAGATCTCAGCCTCCTGAGTATCTGGGATGGCAGTCGGGAGCATCAGCAGTTGTGTTTCTCGTTCACATGGAGGAGGAGAATCCCAGGCAGCGTGTGCAAACAACATGTCCCATTCTGAGCTCCGTGCGCCCCACCCGACAACGCAAACATACTCCAACGAGCCAGAACCAGATCCACAGGGATGAATGGGCAGCGGCGCATCCATCCTGCACGCTGGCCTCCCCGTCCCCCGCATTCTGATCCTGGGCGCTGGCTGGGGGGGCCCAGGAGGGGTCAGGGGGTCAGGGGTCACCCTCACGGTGACCTCAGGGAGGAGCTGCTGCTCTTGCTTCTGACACCACAAACAACAGAAACCAGACAACAGCAGAGCCACGAGGAGCCGGGCAGCCGGGCACCTGCAGCTCAACGTGCCGGGCAGGCCGGCCTCGCCCAGAGGCTTCTCCCGGCCCCGTCCAGGGAGGAATCGATCGGGGCCATCGATGATCCACCATTGGATACACCCTCAGATCAAAGTCGCACTTGAAAGACGCGCACACACACACACACACACACACACACACACACACACACAGAAATCAAACCCTTCCCACATCAAACGAGAGGATTTCCATTTCAGGTCCAGACTCCAGGTCCGGGATCCAAAAGCCCTTTGGAGCCAGTACATGAGCCAGACAGACATCGGCCCTCCAGCCCAAGGGGTTGTGAGAGAGAGGAAGACGGAGGAGGAGGAGGAGGAGGAGG